AAAAACAAAATCACAGAAAATAATTAAATATGAAAACAACAAAAACGAAGATTAGAAATATATTACATATGAATCCACGAACACAAGACGCGAGAGCGGTGGTAGGACCTCTGCCAGTCGACGTCATTAGTGTGTTCCTCCGGGGACGGGCACTTGTCAGGGTCATGCGAGTAGAGGCCTATCTTCCTCAGCACCCGCACGCGCCACTTGACTTCTCGATGGCAGCCTATCGCGCACGTCTCACAGTTCTTGGGATTGCACTTGTTACCAGCGCACCAGAGCTGAAGGTGAAGCGCGGGATTCTCCGCGAGCGTCGCCTTGACCGCGGCCCCGTGTATCCAGGCGTGGGGGCATTGTCCACTCTTGACCGCAATTTCCAGCAGCCTCAGCGCCGGGGCCGTGGCGGGGGTGATGCTCTTGAGCAGGTCGTCGTCAGGATCAGCAGCGTCCAGGTCCAAGTGGCGCAGGGCGGGCAGCATGGGCAGCGCGCGGAGAAGCGGCCGCACGTCCTTGACCCCGTCGAGGGCCAGCCGCTCCAGGTGGGGCCGCCAGGACGAGGCCAGGGCCTTGATCAGCGTCTCGCCGATCTCGGGGAGGAAGTCGTCTCCGTCGTCGCAGTCCAGGTGGACGCGACGCAGTTGGGTGGCTCGGCGGAGGAAATCAGAAAGCACGTCGATGTTCTCTAGTCCGAAGTAAGCAAAGAAGCTGACGTCCCGGAGCGTCTTGCACTCCGCCACGACGTTCAAACCCTGAACTTCCTTGTCGCACCGCAGGCTGTGTAATTTCGGCATGGTGGCCAACAGTTCAGCAGTCGTCGTCTCCTCGACATCGTAACCTGCGCCGAGATTTACGTGCTCCAAGGTTTCCGCGTGCGCAGCCAGAATAGTGTTCACAAAGGATGCTGAGTGTTCATTGACCGCGCACCGAAAATTCGTAAGAGAGGGCTTGGGCGGCCCGCGAACTGGGCAGGTGACATCGGGTAGGTCGCCAATGATTTCAAGTGACTCAAGGCCAGAACACTTCGCTATTGTCCTCACCAGCACGTCTTTTCCAGGCGTCGAATTATGTTCCAGCCCCTCAAGATCAAGTTTCCTGAGGCGCCCGAGGGACTCCTGGTTGCGCAATGCCAAGGCGTACTCCGCGGCGTTAAAAGCCAGCGTATAATGCGAATGAAGTTCTAAAGTCGCCACGGCGCACCTGGTCGTGGTGACCGCTAAGGTTGGGACTCGGCCCGTGACTCTCAGTTTGTCGAGGCACGGGGCCAGGTCCAGCACCGTCCCCGCGTAGTAGTCGTCATCCCTGAGCGATCGGTGGCGCCAGACGTCCCAGTGTAGAGCCAGGTCGCAGAGCCGCTTGCACACGAAGCGACAGTCGAGGACGTCCTCCACGGGCAGGTACTGCAGCACCATCACGATCACGTCGTCCGGGAGCTTCTCCAGGGTCAGCATTGACGTTGCCATCGAGCCTCGAGAGACGCAAACTGCGTGGTAGTGCAAAACTTGAAACCACACACGAAACAACTGCTGTTGCATGAACTGACGGCTGGCTTACTTTGGCGGTAAATGTGAGATAGTTTGATGACCTGCCTCCTCGTGCGCGTGACTTGGAGCGGACTATAGGGAACAGGCGGGAGCACGACCTCCGGTTCAATGCGATTGACGCACCCTGCACAGGTCATCCAGGGGTTAGTTAAACGCAAACGGGAACACAAACCGCAGAATGGGTGGGTCTGAAGGAGAAGGGGGGGGGGGCGACAAGCCAAGAACAGACCTGCTGGATCCTTGACGAAGCCTGTATAACCCAAAGCGCCTCTGTGCTGTAGACTGGCGTCCCTTCGCAGTGAAGTTAAAGAAATTGGAGGATTAATATCAGTGAGCTGACCGGATCCACAGCACAGTAGCACTCCGCGACGTGATCGGAACTCGAGCCGACGCACTGACGACCGCCACAGTATCCGCACTGCTGTGTGAGGAGTAACTACATAAACATTGCGCGCAAGAAAATAGGCCCACAATCGTGATAGCCTTTTTACTAATTTCACAATCACACAGCCGTAAATGAAGCACCAAGTAAAGACCTAGACTTGATGTTGATGGTCGTGCAAGGTACACCAGGCGGCTGGCATGTCATGTCACATAAACCAAAAACCTAACCTACTCATCTGCTTGCTTCACGTTCCGAGACCGCGCCGTGTCATCTGTTGGCTGCCTTACCTTCGTTTTAGAGTGGAGAAGTTGGATGTGATGATCTGAACAGACCCACAGCAAAGAGAAAACACGATTACTTGACGCGGGCTACAATTCGACTAGCATGCTTGCAAACAACAGAGGGGCGGCACAAGAGTCGGAACCAGCGGGCGTCGATGTGAGGCCGAGAGAGACAGATAGTCACTGTGGGAGAGAGAGACATGCGACGCCGCGTCACCCCACTCTCAACACGTAACCACGTCGACGTCGAGTAACCAATTTTTTAAAGCGCCAAGAGCGAGAGAGCGAGAGCCTCGACAGCCTCCACCCCCGGCCCGCTGCCGTCCGGGCTCCCCCAGGACCGATCGTCGGGCGCCGGCGCTTTTCGTACTTTTCGGGCCGGGTGTGCGGTTCCCCGGCGGTGGGACGACTCGAACTGAGGCGCTACCTGTGGGGCGGGGGCCGGACGATAAATGACGAGCGGGGCGCCCTCCCCGCCCTGCTGGAACTGAGGCGCCTCGGGCTGCCGCCGCTTGGCCCCGCTGGAACTGAGGGGCGCCCCGCGTCCTGAGCGCATGGCCGCTGGCTAGCCCAAACCGCGAAATGACATGCGTCCGCTAGGTGTCGGTGAGGTTCAGGACCCCATGCCAAAGCGTTGCACGGGGCGATCCCCCGCCCTCCGCATTTACGCACTGGTCCCGACGGTTAATCCACCTCATAATCCCTGCAGCAGGTAGGCACGGCGCTCCCCCCCCCCCCCCCCGCGCCGCGCGCCCCCCCCCCCCCCCCCCCCCCCCCCCGGCAGCACTGGGACGCTGAGCCGCTGGGCGAACCCTGGTCCCTGGTCGCTACCTCTTTTCTCCCTGACCCTGCCCAGCCCATAATGCACAAACGGTAGCCCGTCATAGACTGCGACCTGCAATTAGCGCCGATCGTGTAGAGTACGTCATTTTCCCACAAAATATAAAACGACCTTATCATCTATAGGTGTTCAAGAAACCTGATGCACAATGTAAAACGAAAAACATTTTCCTGCAGCCCCTGCCGCCAGTGCATAGGCAACCCAACGTACCGGCATGTCTCTGGACACCCGGTACAAGCCCAACGAGCCCCCCACGTACCTAGTGCATAAAAGAATATTATCTCGATGAAAACAGCCCAAAATTTGACCGCAACACTTCTTCCACGATCGGTAACCAAATGTAAACAGCAATGGACTATTCCGGCGGGAGCGCGGAGAAGACTCCACGGAAGAACAAAAGGCATCGCTATTGGCCGAGCGGCGTCCCCCTCCACTACGGGAAGATGGTGGGGGACGCCGCTCGGCGAATCACGGGCCCTTTTGTTCTTCCATGGAGTCTTCTCCGCGCGCTCCCGCCGGAATAGTCTATAATCTATATACGCATGGCGGCTCAATGGGATAGGACGCCACTATGTTGCCAGCTTCACGTAAGGGGCCGTTCCGCTTGTTGTAATAAGTAGTGAAGGGACGTCGTGCTGGCTGCCTACCTGAGCGCCGCTTCGCGGTCAAGCGGTCGTCATTTTACGGGCTGTCGTCAGAAAAGATGAGAAAACGACTTTCCAAAGCATGGGTCACCAGAATTTATTCAACATATCTCATAAGCAGGAAGATTTCAAATATAATACTTGTAAATATATATCTTAGGGATTACCACACTATTCCCCGGTCAAATCCCCCTAATCTGGGCCATACACGAATCTAACACGGCCCCGCGGCTAAAGTGGACTCTAACCGGCTATCAATAACTTTAACCAATTTACAGATTGTAACCATAACATATAATATAAACAATGACAGAAAAATATATTTTGCTACCATATTAAAAAGGGGGCAAATAAACCACAAACGGAGCGCTCGTGGAGGACATATCACGAGGGGGAGAAGGTACAGAGAAAAAGGAGTGTATACATCATTTAAGTGTTCGTACGACAAAGTGACAGCATTGAAACAAGGGTGAATTTTGATTAGCATCTTATCTGATCAACAGAAGGCTAATTGCAAAAAAATATAATCTAGGGAACAACGTAATCCACGTGTAGGAATGCATCACATACGAATCCACGCACACTCGACATTAGGTTGGCGGTTGTGGGACCTTTGCCAGTCGACGTCATTAGTGTGTTCCTCTGGGGACGGGCACTTGTCAGGATCATGCGAGTACAGGCCTATCTTTTTCACCACCCCCCACTTTAATACTCGATGGCAGCCTATCAAGCATGCCTCACAATCCTGGGGATCACACTCGTCACCAGTGGGGCGGCACCAGAGCTGTATATGAAGCGCGGGATTCTCCGCGAGCGTCGCCTTGACCGCGGCGCCGTGTATCCAGGCGTGGGGGCATTCTCCCCACTTGACCCGGATCTCCAGCAGCCTGAGCGCCGGGGCCGTAGCGGGGGTGATGCTCTTGAGCAGCTCGTCGTCGGGCTCAGCAGCGTTCAGGTCCAGGTGGCGCAGAGCGGGTAGCATGTGCAGCGCGCGGAGCAACAGGCGCACGTCCTCGAGCCCTTCGAGGGCCAGCCGCTCCAGGTGGGGCCGCCAGGACGAGGTCAGGGCCTTGATCAGCATCGGGCCGGCCTCGGGGGGGGAAGTCGTCTCCGCCGTCGCAGTCCAGGTGAACGCGGCGCAGTTGGGTGGCTTGGCGGAGAAACTCAGAAAGTACGTCGATGTTATCTGGTTCCCAGTTAGCATAGAAGCTCACGTCCCGGAGCGTCTTACAATCCGCCACGACGTTAAGCCCTGGAACCATCTTGTTGCACCGCAGGCTGCAGAGTCTTGGCATGCTGGCCAATAGATTGGCCGGCGTCGTCTCTTCGTTGTCGAAACCTGAGCCGAGGTTAACGTGCTCCAGAGTTGCCGCGTGCACGGCGAGTATGGTGTTCACGAAGGATGCTGAGTTCTCATCGACCACGCACCGAAAATTCGTCAGCGAGGGCCTAGGTGGCCCGTGAACAACAGGGTGGGTGACATCGGGGAAGTCTTCATAGATTTCTAGCGACTCGAGGTTGGAGCACATCGCGACTGTCCTCACCAGCACGTCGGCCGCAGACTCCAAACAGATATTCAGCTCAAGTTTTCTGAGGCGTCCAAGGAGTTCCTGGTTGCGCACGGCCAAGGCGTACTCAGCGACGTTAATTGACTCATCTGGACCCGCAATCAGTTCCAAACTCGCCACGGCGCACCTGGTCGTGGTCACGGCCAAGGTCGGGACTCGGCCCGTGACTTTCAGCGTGTCGAGGCACGGGGCCAGGTGCAGCACCGCGCCCGCGTACTCGTCGTCGTCCTCGAGTGATCGGTGGCGCCAGACGTCCCGGTGCAGGGCCAGGCCGCAGAGCCTCTTGCACACGAGGCGGCAGTCGAGGACGTCCTCTACGGGCACGTACTGCAGCACCATCACGATCACGTCGTCCGGGAGCTGCTCCAGGGTCACGGACGTTGCCATCGAGCTACGAGCTACTGTATGGTAGTGCAAACACTCCAACCCTCGCGCAACTACTCTGCTCTTGTGTGCACTGTCGGCAGGCTTACCTGGGCGGTAAATGTGAGGTGGATTGAAGGCCTGCCTCGTGCGGGTGACTGGGAGCGGACTATGTCGGCACCAAGCGGGGGAACACGGCGACTTCGAACAGCGGCTGCGATGTGAGTGACGCACCCTGCACAGACAATGGTCATCGAGTCGTCAGAACAACTCGCACCGCAGGCGTTTTTTTTTTGGGGGGGGGGCGCTAATGGGAGGGAGACGATACGCCAAGAACAGACCTGCTGTATCCTTCACGCAGCATCTCAACAGCCTCTCTGTGCTGTAGCCTTGGTTTACCTTCGTAAAATTTAAAAATTAAAAAACCCACAGGGCTCAGAATGGGACAGTCCCTGCGAACAGGCCACAGCGCTCCCAGCCGCAGCGCGGCCGAGCCGATCGTGCAGGAGGAGGGGGAGGGGGGCATAGCTGGAAACGGTCGCCACATACCCCACTGCGCCACACACACCCGAGCCCCTTCTTCCGTGCGGCCCTGTTTTAAGGGAGATAGGGGGAGGGGGGAACGTTTTCTTCCTCGGGTAGAGCGTCCTGTCTTAAAATTGTGAGTAAGACTAGATGAGTGTTTACCCCGCCCTTCACCCTATCACTAAGGTTTTTTTTTACGAACAATTACGTGTGCGCCCCGTTTGTGGCTGTGTCGGCCCTACGAACGCCGCCCCTAGGTTGCCTACAACTCACGAGGGCAGCCACAACAAACCCAGGGCTGAAATAACAAGTGCAGTAGATGTGGGCGGCTTGTGACATTCCGTCACTACAAAGAGGTGAAACATGAAATAGTATCAGCACGATGATGATTTATTCGCCATTGAATCAACATGACTAAGAACAAAAATAAGTAGGAAACAGCGATAACCAAAGGAAGAAATACATCACATATGAATCCACGTACACGCGACATCAGAACGGCGGTCGTAGGACCTTTGCCAGTCGACGTCATCAGTGTGTTCCTCCGGGGACGGGCACTTGTCAGGGTCATGCGAGTAGAGGCCTATCTTTTTCACCACCCGCCACTTTACTTGTCGATGGCAGCCCCTCACGCATCTCTCACAGTCCATGGGATCGCACTTGTTATCAGTGGGGCACCAGAGCTGAATGTGAAGCGAGGGGTTCTCCGCGAGGGTCGCCTTGACCGCGGCCCCGTGTATCCAGGCGTGGGGGCATTGTCCTCTCTCAACCGCGATCTCCAGCAGCCTCAGCGCCGGGGCCGTGGCGGGGGTGATGCTCTTGAGCAGCTCGTCGTCGGGCTCAGCGTCCAGGTCCAGGTGCCGCAGGGCGGACAGCGCGGGCAGAGCGCGGAGCAGCCGCCGCACGTCCGTGACCCCTTCGAGGGCCAGCCGCTCGAGGTGGGACCGCCCCGACGAGACCAGGGCCTTGATCAGTGCCGCGCTGACCTCGGGGAGGCAGTCTTCTTCGACCTCGAGGCAGTCCAGATGGACGCGACGCAGTTGGTTGGCTCGACGAAGGAAATTAGAAAGCACGTCGATGTTCTCTAGTTCCGAGTCGACACCGACAAAGATGCTCACGTCTGTGAGCGTCTTACACTCTGATACGATCTTCAGCCCACAAAAAGACTTGTCGCAGCGCAGGCTGCAGAGTCTTGGCATGCTGGCCAATAGATTGGCCGTCGTCGTCTCTTCGTTTTCGAAACTACCGCTGAGATTAACCTGCTCCAAGGTTGCCGCGTGCCCGGCCAGTATGGTGTGCACGAAGGAGGCTGAGTTCTCCTCCACCGGGCACCGAAAATTCGTTAGCGAGGGCCGGGACGGCCCGCGAACAATGGGGTGGGTAACATCAGGTAGGTATCCAATAATTTCTAGCGACTCCAGGTTGGAGCACATCGCGACCGTCCTCACCAGCACGTCGCTCGTTTGCAAATAGGTGCTAAGCTCAAGTTTTCTGAGGCGTCCAAGGAATTCCTGGTTCCGCAGGGCCAAGGCGTACTCAGCGGCGTTGATGCCCATCCCATAACTTGAACGTAGTTCCAAACTCGCCACGGCGCACCTGGTCGTGGTCACCGCCAAGGTCGGGACTCGGCCCGTGACGGTCAGCGTGTCCAGGCACGGGGCCAGGTGCAGCACCGCGCCCGCGTACTTGACGTCGTCCTTGAGCGATCGGTGGCGCCAGACGTCCCAGTGCAGGGCCAGGCCGCAGAGCCTCTTGCACACGAGGCGGCAGTCGAGGACGTCCTTCACCGGCAGGTACTGCAGCACCATCACGATCACGTCGT